CTATTGAGAAGAGAAGACAACAGACAGCTTTTTTAACCCTTTATTTTATGATAAAATATCAATTACTAGTAAAAATGCAATATTTAAACAAAAATAAAATCGTGACAAAAAACGAGTGCGTGACATTTTAAAAATCGCTAATTAGCTCAAAAATTACGTACAATTAAAGCTGTTTGCTGAGCTTCCCGGACTAATTAGCTAATTGGAAGTGAAAATTATCATCAACTTATTCAAAGATCTGTCATAAATCCATGCATTAAAAAATCCACTGGCTTGAATTTTCTTTTTTCAAATGTTTCACAGAAAAACGTGTGATTTCGATATCTTGTCTTGTTTCTTGTAAATTCTCAAAAGCATAGCACCCAAGATGAGGAAAAAGCAGGGACTTCCTGTTTTCCTTCAGAAAAAATTAGCTTTCTGTTTCGAATTACGGCTCATCGTAATATCAACGTGAATAAATACAGAAATTATCAAAACTGTCCAGTTGTCAGTTTGGGTATCCTATGTTATTAATGCCAGTAGCGTACTCGCACAATTATACCGCGCCCTAATCTTGATATGCTGTCACGAAAAATCACCAAATCACCAAAAAAGCTATCGTAAAAGGTAAGAAAAAAAAAGAAGCGCATTACTTTGAAGACAGATACAAAGTAAAAGATATCCCAGGTTGTTCTCGGGGTATGAAAGAAGGTGGTGCAGTGGTTTAGCACGTTGCGTCCGGAGGTGAAGACAAGTGGTTCGATTCCCTTTTAATCCAAACCCCTTTGCAAAAAAGGGCATTTTCACGACAGATGCGTACCTCTAAGTATCTGTCGACTGTCCCTTTAAATACGTATGTCACCTTCGAGAAAGACTAAAGGGTTGTCCAGTTCTTCGTGTGTACCACTATATGACGTCGATCACTCAGTAAGGTAAGCCATCGAGTTTCATTTTCTCGCACGGTCGCTACGATATCTTGCATGCCGCCCATAACACTACTAGTAATTGTAAAAATAAGTGACACTAATGATAATAAATGCTGCTTACCGCAACGGCTCTCCTTTGCGTACGCTTAAATCGGGCATTAC